ACCTTGTAGGAATTCTTATTATTGTAAAACATGAACTGGAGTACTTAATATCACCAATAGAATCACACTGGTAACTGACTTCTAATCAGCTCAGATTCTCTTATTGTCTACAGCTGGGAAGGGCATGTATTTATATTATGGGTTATTTCACCATTTGTGATTTGTTATCAGCATTATTTTTAGGCCCTCTTTGTCTAATTGTCTAACTTCAGATCTTCTTCAGGTGCTCTATGGAAAATGCACTTATGTTTAAAATCCTAGATGCTTTGGCTGCACAGTCTTAAAAACAGAAAACCTGACATTTGACTCTGTAAGGTACTAAGGGGAAAAAAAAGGACAAAAGGAAACAGTAGCTCCCATGGCACTCCTGTATCCTCTTAACATTTTCTTGTAACTATACTGTTTTATAGATGAAACTGTCACTGCAAAAATGACAAATATAACACATAAAAGAACAAAAATGGGCAATAAATCACAAGTGACACTCCAGCCCATTGAAATGCATTCAGCTGGTGCTGCAGAAAGTAGGAAGATTTCCTCTTGCTTTGCATTCTGCCCAGCTGAGCAAGAGGACCAGAATCCTTAAACAACCGGTACCACAATCGCTGGGGCCATCACGTAAGAACAGGCTTAGAATTTCACGTTGGAGAGTCAGATCCGTTCTCATCCTGCTTTCCTTGTCACTTGGCCTTGCAACAGCATTGTAATATGGCTTTGACATTACACCACATAGGTGCTTGCTCTCTCCTGGATAACTATCCACAACTCCCACTCATGTAAATACTGCTCAGAAGTATCAAGAGAAGAATAAACTCCCAAAATTGTGTATTCAAGCTGCAGACAGACATATCTGCACATAGCTTTGTTACTACAGACAGCACTGTAGTCTCAACTAGGAAATCATCGGTTCTCCGTTACCCAAAATAGCACTTCAAGTTTCGACATGTTAGAATACATCTAAATCAATTTTACATGGTTCAGGATGGAGAAAAATGAACGTGAATGTCTGTCCAGCCCGTGTTGCTATACCTCAAATGTACTGTAATGGACAACAAGCTAGGAAAACACTCCTCAAATTCCTACTGTTGTTTTTTTTGTGTTAATAAACAAACTGTGTTTTATATATATAGCAATAAATCTTGCTATGTATTGAATACACATCTGAAGAAATCTGTATGTTTCCTTATGCTGCTAACTTCATAAGGGAGAAGAAACCAAATGGGATTCTTTTATGGCTGCTTTTGACATGGTTATAAAATATGCTGCTCATCTAGACCTTAAGGTATGCAGGGTAAAAATCATTCAAGCCTTAAGATTGCCACTATCTTTTTTAAAAATTCTTCCCAATTCCTAAGTATCAGTTATTCTACAAAACTTCTGACATGTCTTGTTGTATCTCATTTGTACCAAGAATTTAATCTATGAAGAGTGTACAATACAGAGCTCTCCCTTCCAGCTGCATGTGTAATTAACAATGGGTAGTAAAAAGGGCGTTCTATGGAAATCAGTCTTAATAACATCCAGTAAAGTAGTGGCTGCTCCACTAAATCACAAATAGAAATACTTTAATTTAAATATAAGTAGCTCAGACATATTTCAACAATTAAGAAAATGCCTGGAAGAATGAACACCCTAATCATAATTCCAAGCATGCTATTTTATCAGAATGCAGACAGAACAAAATAGATGAGGGCCAAGTGAATACCAAATATGGCCAATTTAAACCTATTACATGAAGTGTCTCTTACAAAATAGTGAAGCAAACTGCAAATGCTTTCAGGCATTCTCAAAAACATGGATTTGTTATTCAACTTTGAAGTCAAGATCATACAGTCACGTACGTATGTGGTAGTTTTTTTTAACCTTCTACATGATTTCAACCATACTGTTAAACCATATTTGTTTATGAAAATACGGAGACAGTATCATGAGGACTATTATGCTTCATGTATACATAGTCTTTTCTCCTGGCTGACAGATGTTAGGTAGTTCGATATTCTTCCTATCTGTTGTAAGATAGGGTCAACTGAGTGGATTTCAAGTTAGTTACTTTTTCTATGGTTAACACTGAAAGGTAAACACTATCCCCCACATTTGAATTCCTTAGCTACTAAGTTACTGAATCTGTGATAATATTGTATTCACTAACACTAACAACACTAATTTCCCTATTTTGGCTTGTAAGAATCAAAACCACACAGTTGCCTTTACAGCATGTTATGTTATACTATTACTAAAGGACAACTATATTGTAGGTGTTTAAGTACAACTGCAAGGAAAAGTTCTTTGCTACAGGCTGCAAAAGAGTACTGAAGCAAGGAGTGGCTGTCAGGATATTTAGGACAAATAGCAGGCAATCCTATAAATGGAAGTCATCTTACTTTGATATGAAAGGGAAGAAGGAAGGAAGGACAAAGGGGAACTAATAATGCATTGTTTCTAAACTGCACCAGTAAGGGCCAAGATGAGTTGAAGCAGGTGGAGGAAATGACTGCAAGCAGAGTTGACTTGAAAGCTGAACTGTATTATCATGATCTTTCTGAAGGGGAAGACCTTTCAAAATTGTAACAATATTCAGGAATGCATCCAAGATTTTAAATTTTCATTATGCAAGAAGCATCAACTTCCCACCTTCCCAAAAAATGAAAATCCCAACCCTGACCTCCCCACTGCTGTTTACATATCTCCTCAAATGCTAAAAGGCAATAGCAATTTCTTGATCTGAAATGTAATTACTTTGGTGCTAAGCAAAGAAGTGAAGAAAAGGCACTGAATAGAAAATGCTAAGTAACATTATTTAACAGTTATAGCTGTAGGGCTTGTGGTAACAACAGTCCTATGGTTTCCACATTAAAAAGTCCTTTTACATGTAGATCCTTTCCACAGTCTGGGAATTTGTAGGAGAAAAGAGTGGGGAGAATGTGCATCACTCCCTGCTTCCTCATGTCCAGGCCAGCTCCTGTAAACCTACTTTAAGAAAATCTTTGGGTTCCTTATGGATACTGGAGATACCATTATTGCTGCACTGCCCTGAAGTTGAAAAGCCTACCTTAGGGACCCCTACACAGTACATCTCTGTAGAAAAACATGAATTTCTGTTGTTGTCATGGGACCAACCATGTGGGCTGAGTGCGTTTTTTTCACTCCCTGTGGCAGTCGTGACAACTGAGAAGGAGAAAGATGCTTCTTTCCTTTTGATCACGCTGTCTTTCAAGCATGAGAAGGGGTTGTGAACATTGAGGGGATTTCAGAGGCTCTTTAATACATTTCACAGATAGCCATAAATGCTGTTTGCAGATATCATTTGATACTTTCTTTTTCACTATAAAAATAGTTTCTGGTAGAACAGATTTTTTTTTTTTTAAAGGAAATAAAAGTCACAGATCTGACAGACAACCACAGAGTGCCAATGCTATGAGCCACCAGTGACTAAGCAACCAAATAGATACTTTGCTGGCTGTTCTATGCTAGCTATATCTCTGTTCTCTCCTTGTTAACTACTATAGCCATCTCCCTCTTGTGGAACAGGCTTATCTTCAGTGTTTCCTGTAGCTATCCAGTTTTGCGCTAACACAAATAAAAAACAAAGTCAGAGAAGAAAAACATTTAATTCTCCATATGGAAAAATACATAAGCTTATTTGAACCTGTGATGAAGAAAGTTCAAGGATATGGAGGAAGAGATGTTCTTTGTCTCTTCAAAGCTTTGTTTGTATTCTCAAGTAAAAATGAAATGGGCTATAAAAAATATATGTGGACAGTGCTTCTGACAAGCAGCACTGACAAGAGCAAGCTAGTACTTCCTGGCATCACCTGTTATTACATAAAACAAAAATACACGTCTTGATTGACATGGCAACTTGGGCATTATGGATCACTCAGCCTTGTTATTATAACACATACCCCGGAATTAAAAGCTATAGCAAACATGTCACTAATTCTCTTATCTTAAGCTGAATCACTTAACCGTCTCTTACCGACTATAGCAGTATTTACATGCTAAGCATCTGAAGTCCTCCTCGTCCCTTAGGCACCCCGGTAGCAACATTTACATGCTTCTCAAGTAACTATGCCAGTATTTTTGAAAAAGGCAATGATTTTATCATATGCTAAATGCTGATGGACTAGGTCTAACTTCCCCTGTTACATATTCTGTCAAACTCACCTTAGATTCTAGAGTTTTTAATGCTCTTTGCTTCTGTTTGAAAATGAAAACGTTTCCAAATCCCTTAAAAGCTTTATGCATGTGTTTATTTTCTGACAAAATGAATCATTTCCCCAAGTTAATAAAGATTTTCTGGTATATTCTGAACTGGCCTTCAAGCCACACACAGCCTAATAATTGTCTCACTTGCATACTGAGTTTACTTTGACAATCAAGATTTTAAAACCTTATAGTCTTGTTCATTCTCATATGTCACATGCTAGGTTATTTTGTTTTAATCCTAGAAATCATGTATGACATAATTAAAAAGGAACCAACTTTATTTATTTTAATTTTTGTATATTAAAATATTGCCAGAAAATATGATCTTCCCAACATTCTGCAGTAAAAAAAAAATCCATTAATACAAGATCTATGTCCTAACTTGCACATGCAACTCTTGAGCCTAAATTATTTAGAAATTCTAGTCTTAATCTAATAACACAGAAAAAAATAAACAGGTACACAGATATATATCTATATTCAAACTGTCATTTAATTTATGGATGGAGCAAGACTAGATCTCTTTACAACATCAGGCTTGAAGGAACATTCCACAGATCACACACACAATGGGCACATGCAGCGGAGTTGTATGTACAGGAATGTGCGTGTAAGTTTTGGTGTCAAGCACACGATTTAATTTAATGGACCTGAAGAAAAATTTATAAACAAAAAGAAACTTTTAACATAGAGAATGATTTATGAGCAGAGAATGAAGAAACCATCAGGGAAAAGGAGCCAAAGAAAATGAGACAAAATGGGCATGATGACTTGTCTATACTTGAACATCTGACCTGTTAGTTGGTCGTCGCCTGCAGCAGGGGCGATGCGAATGTATGGTGTTGTAAGCTGAGTCACGATTATCGCAGCTAAGGCAAAGGAAGATTTCCAGGTCAGCATGCATGAGGGGAAAAAAAAGCCAGACTGAAGCTAGGCCAGCAAGAAGAATTTTGGTCAATAGTTTATTGTCTGAACTTCTTACAAATAAAAGCCAAAAAACTCCCACAAGTTCCTTTTCATCTTCAGTTGTTAGTTTGGTTATTCTGCAAATTAATAAGCTTTCGTATGTGACTTTCATTCAGGAAGAGGACTCAAAGCACATTATTTACCTATAATGCATTTGAGGAAACTGGAGGCTCTTTGGTTCTGCTAGTCACAGCACTGGGCTAAGTGAAAGTTAACTGCTTATTCAGATTACTCTAGTATTAACTTCTCCAGGTAATTTGAACTAGTTTTACTTTTTGTTTTCCTATTACTTAATAGTACTTTTTCCCTATAATTATTTTTTAAGATAATTTTCATGCAAAAATATTTTTGAGCTAGCTAAGATTAATTTTTCCTGTACCCACTTGGGTCTTCGTTCTGAAAATGCACACGCTATACATACACTTAACTTCAACCATACAGAGAATGACCACTGAGAGTTGGCACACTTGTAGTTAGGTATGTATGCAACTGTTTGAGGCCCGAGTTTCAAGTTCATGTTTTGCCACTAAGACAAGAAAAAGCTGAAAAAACTGAACTGTTTGTGTGCCTGAAGTTTTCAGACTTTTCTGTCAGAACTATAACAATCACTGACTGTTACAGATAACTGTTACCATGGCTCACATTAATAAAATCTCATATTTCTTTGTTTGCCAGCAGTTCTATGATTGCTTCTAAATGGTTAAGCACACTATGATACATATATATTAAGGAATATAAAAAAAATTAAAAGGTCAGATCCAACATGATGCAGCTGGAGAATGATGCAAAGAAAAAATATTGGAAAATTAAGGACAAAATTATATGAAAGATCACTCATTTACATAGAACAGCCTGGGTGCTATTAGAAATGTGGCAACGAGTGAGGAAAATAGATCATCTACCATCTGCAGACAATTAAACTCAAAACTGCTGCTGCATAATATTTTGAAATATCCCTCTGCAACACTGAAATGCAGTGTTGATAGTAGCTGCTAGAGTACTGTTGCTATTGGATTTAAAATATTACAATATCCTTTTCTTTCTCATAATTAATGAAAGCCTTCCAATATTGCAAAATTAGAACAATGATGTCTCCCTCTTGAGAACTGGATTCCTAGGAGATAACCAAGATGTTTCTATCCAGACAGCATTGTAAGTCATATCAGGAAATATAGCCTTAATATAAATCACAAACCACCACAAAGTTGATAGCAATAAACTTGGAGGAGTTTTGGAACGTTTTCAACTTTGTCTGCTGAGATTTTACAGTCATTTAGCTTGAAGAAAGAGTAGGTATATGAAAGCCATATTTCAAGCAAAATACGACAACCTTTATTACTACTGGTACAAAAATCTCTTCCTGATTTTTGTTTGTTTGTTTGTTTAATTATCTTGTAAAAAATAATGAGAGTGGAAACCCTGCAGTCTCCACATTTGTATATACACCAAATAGTCACAGAGGTCCTAGAAGCCTTTTTCTACAGAAAACAAAGATCAGAAGACTCCACATCACAAGAATATGCTGCCTGATCCTTCTCCTAGTAAAGTCAGTGGCAAAAGTTCCCTCTGACTTCAGCAGAAGCAGGAGGAGAACTTTCAGCTCCACAGAACCCAATATTCTGATCCTAAATTACACTTACTTACAATCATTGCAATCAGGATTTTTATATGATCTCTAGAAGAACGCATTTAACAGAGGTTTCATTTGTAAAAATGTAAGGGTCATAAAACAAGAGCTTCTATTAAAATGTTACAAATTGAGGTTGTTTAAAATATACTTGATGGAATGAGAAAGTATTATCCAGCTACTGACCCTACACATGTATTTGACCCAGTAGAGTTAGGCTGTACTTTTCTAACAAGAAGCCTGTCAATATGACAAAAGGGTGTCTGGTGCACTTTGGCTCTGATTCAGCAACAGAGTTTAGTGTGTCTGCCAGCTGAGCACATGCTTCACTGTAAGCACATGCATTACTCCTGTTGACATCAACTGGAGTGAAAAGTGAAGTACCTGCTCAAGGGTTCTGCTGGATCTGGGGCAAGAATGCTCTGTATCTGTATAAAATATGACACTTACTCATGTGTTTTTATTTTAAGAAAAAATACAAAAGCATACAGTGGGCCATGGAATGAACACTGCAAAACTCAGTGATAAAACAGAAATCTCAATCATCTTAAGGTTTCAAGGGCACCAACGACTTTTAGATTATCTGGAGCTGGAATAATTAAAGGAAACACAGCTAGCAAATTATATAGCTGTACTCATGTCAGGTTCTGAACTCCCATATTGGTCCCAAGGGCAGGCTTCAAACAGGATCACCACATACCCTTAATAGAGACAATGAGGTGGCTTGGCCAAGCTCAGCTGGCTCAGTGAAGCAGCTTGGAGGCTGCCTTGGGTGACCTGGATCCCAGGAAGGGTTGCCTGATGAACTTGGTGCAGTCCTCAGATTCCATGAGAATAGAATTGCAGAAGCTTTCAAGAAACAAGAGGACAGTTGGCTTCACTGTCATGTTTGTTTTACAGGGTATACTTTATGGCAGCAGGCCTTTATCCGGTGAAATACTTACGTGTCTACTTTAAGACAGAATGTTGCAATGTAGTCAGATTATTCATTGTGCTCAAAATTAGGTACATAGCTGATTTGATTAGGGCCTAAAAGCATATGGTTTCTCACATACATATTAAATTCTGGAGTATGTCTACTAATTCCAATGGCCTACACGAAGAAGCCCAGAATACAAACATATCAGAAATGTTATTAGTATATGACAACTAGATGTTGTACTGCAGAGAATTAGCAACCTTATTTTTAAGAAGCACGGTAATAAAGAGATGGACACACTGAGTACATGACAGAGTTTAAGTAGCTTGCTGTCTAGCAGCTATACTGTAGTCACAAGACTCAGTGGAAAATGGTGCGTGTCTGTAAGAGATCAGGCACAGCGGGCAGAGCAGCCTTTGTTTCCTGGGGTACAGGCAATGTGAATGTTGTACTAAGCTGTTTGGGGGTGTGTGGACAGAAGAGGAGGTGAACATGAGAGGACAATTCTCTGTCTTGCCCCACTGCAGTGTGGTGACTTCTGACCTACAGACATTAAGCATTTTTGCTATTTTTTCTACTCCATATGTGGGAAGTCCAAAGAGGGCACAGAAGTCTGCTTTTCCTACAAATATCTCTGTTAGATCTAAAGGGAAAAAATCTGTACAGACAGGTATGATTAATACCGCATTAAAATATGTCATGGTCTCCAATTTATTTTTAAAAAATAATATAGTATAAAAATATAATACAGACATTCACTTTATAAGCATGGAACTTGGTGCTTTACAGAAGCCCCCCCCCCCAAAGTTTTGCACCAGGGACTATAAAAGCCATTGAGGACACCTCTGATTCCGAAGTCCTCACAACATCCCCTCATAATATTTTACAGGCTTTACAATGGTATTATGAAGAATTCTGAAACATGCTTTCAAAACAGAAATGTATGGAGATTTGTTTAAAATAAAAGCTGCATTTCTCGCATCTCCATTGCCAAACAGGTTAGCTCGAGGCAGCTTGTTGCTATGGGAGCTATTCTAATCCATAAAGTTATCCTCGCTTCTCAAATGAAAGAGTAAGATTTTTCAGTCAGTCAAGTAATTGAAATAGTTGAACATCCATCAGTGATTAGGAATACAAATCTTCAAATAATTTAAAATCCATTCCTCTAATCAACTATTATGATTTCTGAAGTAATGTAGTCCACTCCCTGGTATCACTGAAGCTACGGGAAAACACCACCACAGGATTACACTTGAATCTGGAATTCATCTCTCTGTATTTTGTTGGGGTTTAGTTTTGATATTTGAAAGTTTTCAGTGGTTTAGTAAGCAGTCAGTTAGTAAATTAGAATTAAAACTACTTCCTTTGGTTTGAAAAAAAAAAAACCAAACCAAAACCAGAAACCAATTCAAAGAGCCATAAAAATGCATTTGTCACATTAGGAAGGATCCAGCCTTTCAACAGAGGCAACTGTATGCTAACATTTCTGTTACTTTTAAGTAAGAAAATTCTCATCCATCTTATTTAGATTTAGTGGCGGTGGTGGAATTGTGAAGTCTACATGTAAAGGAAATCGTGGTGCAATCAGTGGCGTTAGGGATAGTCACTATGAGACATGCATGATCTCCTGCAAGGAACAGCGTTTCATACTCCTAGCAGGTGCCCAAACCACAAGCTGATATTACCTGTTCCTACTCGCAGCAGTACTTTCTTTCCTTTTCCTCTATTACAATCTCCAAATAATCATACTATCCCATAACTTCTTTTTCAGGCTTTGAAGTTGCCACCAGCTAGAGGTACTAAAAAGGTGAGGCTACAAAGATAATCACAGTCAGAACCTAGCTTTTAAAGAAAATATATCAGCAGCATGTTTATCTTTCCCTGTTTGGGGATCAAACCTATAGCTAGCACTGTCTCAATTATACAAACTTGTCTCACAGAAGGTAGTATCATGCGCTGACAGTCCAATAAATACAGCTGATCTGTACCATGAAAATGAAGAACATGATTTCTCCGCTTTTCTTTTATAAAGCAATTAAGATAAGATAATTGCTTACAAGTGAGGGGTAATTTTTCACTATGGATGTATAAGCAGCTAGTATGCACTCTGCAATTGGCAATTTTACAACTCTACTATATAGAGAGAAGTCCAACATATTTATTGTGAGATCATATAAAAACCCACAGAATATATTTTTAAAATTCTGTGTTCAAGTAGACAACTAAAAATGAGTAATACGTTTATTATTACAAACAAACAAACAAACAAACATCCCAAATCTCAGCTAGAGTTGCAAATGAATAATTTAAAATTCTGTAATAGGTTTAGTGATGCCTTTTAGCAATATAAACACTTCTGGAAGTTTGCAAAGACTATGTGAAGGAAAGGTCAGCAAGCTGAAATACAGAATACATGACATAATACGAACATACCTTTTGTGGCTACCCTGACGCAGTCGGTTTTGGTTTCCTGTGTCAAATAAAGAGGAAAAAGGTCACATCTTGTGTTTCTAAGCAAAGAAAATCATCCATGATTTTATTCTTAAAAGTACTGATAAAATGTCAGAGTAGTACTCATTTAATGTGCCTCATTACATATTTAACTGCTTATTAAGCAACTCCAACGTGCTTTCGTAACATGGACAAACATTGCTTGGGTATGGTACATAAACATTTCACTTAAGATTCCTCTAAATGTAGAAAATATGTGAAAGATATTCACGAGACCACAGGCAAGTGTTCAGCTTTTTTACGTTGGCAATATAATGACCTTGGGAGATTTTTCTTTTTCTTACAGATAGTATAGTTTGAGGCACCATGCTAGACAATTTTAGAAAGAAAAAAATAATCAATGGCGTTTCACATTTCTGCACTGTCAGTGCACTGTGAAAGAGGGACCATTATGGTTCCTGGCAGAAAACATTTCCAGGCTGTCAGCACAGACAGCCAAAGCTTATCAAGAATTGAAGGGCTCTGGGTAGGTCTGTCCAGGAAATGAAAAAAAAATTGAGCAAGAATTAGTCCAGTGAAACATGATCTGTGAAGACCTTTTTACAGACTTTTCATTTCAGATCCATCTACTTACTTTTCTTTTACTGTTTGCAGAAAGAAGGGAAAAAATTGGTTTGTAATTCAGTCAGGGCAACCAAATGAGAAAATGGGAGTTCGAGCCATTACAAACTAAGGTAATGGGACTGGACAGGCCAAGGCAGATGTGCTAAAATCCACAATCAAGTTTGGCTTAAACTTAACAAAAGGAATCACAACAGTCTCCTCTTCAAAGCAAAAAAACAAAACCAAAGAAAAGAAAGAAAAAAGCCAGTCAAATGCACTGATTGGATAGCTTTTAGATAATAAGACAGAATGGCAATGCACTACTTTGCCTACTCACTATTGATAAAATGTGCTGTTTTCCCCTCCTCTTTCCTGTAACCTTTAATCATTAAGCAATATTGTGTTAGGAAAACTGTTATTTTTTAAGCTCAGTGTATTAAATTTTGTGGTTACTTCATTTTCTCATTAGCAACTAAACTGGGCATCTCATTAGTTGCTGCCAATCATCTACTTACACACAAATACCGTATAAAACCACACCGGTCATAAGACTTACCCCATTGGCTCTGCTAGCAGCTTGAAAATAGATGCTGTAGCTCTTATGAGGAAGAAGAGGAGTGTTCCAGAAACCACTGTAGGTTTTGTTATCACCAATAGTAAAAGGCTGAGCAGCTTGTAATCCATTGGCTGGAAGCTCCGCAGCAAAGTAGTACCGGGAATTCAAAAGCGAGGCATTCTGGAAATGAATGGGCACTGGGTAGCACTTCAGGATTTCAGTTGTCTTTTTGGTCCTCCGTGGGCGTTCTTCTTCCACAACTATTTGGTAGACACTAAGAGTGCAGAAAGGAAAGAACAAGAGAAACACAGAGGTTATTTTAAGATTCGGGCAGTCAAGTCATTCTGAAACCATAATGGCATATTAGTATTTAAGGAAAAAAAAAATAACTGTTAAAAGCAAAGGACACAGGAAGGAAACGTTATTTTGATATTCAGGCGTACACATTTGTGGAATAGATTCATGCTTTCCAACAAATTCATTTTGTCTTGCAAAAACAAAGTTAGCCATACACACCACAGCTTTTCATATAGCTAATGCACAGAACACTTTCTTGTTCGAACTCTTGTACAGAAAAAGCTTGATTAGTGCTGAAATAAAGAATTAAGTATTATTTTGTTCACAGAAATATAAAGCTATAGATTCCATTCTCTAACCTGTTTATCTTGTCTAAGTGAAGTAAAATGAGTAGTAAGATAAAAATGAAGAAATAAATTACAAAGAGATGGCAAATAGTATTTGCTTAACTGTTGACATTATAACTATTTATAAAAGCACACATAGAGCAAATTACAGTCTTTTAAAATTTCAGTGGCATATTGACTGTTACTGAGCAAGAATAAAACACTTTTTGATGGAAGTTATTCTCGCTCAGCAAAGCACTTTTACACATCTTAGATATAACCGTATTTTTAAGTGTTTCTGCATTCTGCAAAGCAATTCAGTTTGCACTTGCATTCTTTGCTGTACTGGGACCTACAGGGAACAGTCCATCCGTCTCCACTGTAAAGGTGCTATGGACATTCAAGCAGGAACAAAGAAATTGTGATTTCTGCTGCATATGCAAACAGTGTAATCATTATACCCTTACAGTTGCTGTAAAAGCCTGAGTCAGTGCTTTCAAATTTGTGAAGTGGGAAGTCCATGTCTCTAAAGAGGACTGGCTTGCAAGTTTATTGCTTCACTGGGGACCAGTGATTCTTCATCATTATTTGTCTCCTGGAATCTTGAATCCCGGTAAGCAAGCCAGTATAGGTAACTGATGTTAAAGTAGCAGTGCGTCCCCCTTTTTGCACATCATCTACATCTAGTAACATTTTATGATCTTTCAAGTTGATATTCATAGAAAGCAGCAAACTCTGGGTGGGGTATGTTTCTTAAAGATGAAATATCCACAGAGTCTTCTGACGTTCCCACTCTGTCATCAGTAGGTAGATGATTACATTTACAGAAGACTCTGCCCAAAGTACAGGGACACTTGGGCCAGGCCTTTGCAGGTCTCACTCTGGACCCAACAGGGCTTATTGGCTTAGTTGTATCACTGCACAGCTATGGCTATTCCCCTTCTGAAGGCACATCTGGTTTAGAAATAAAAGAGATGACTTTGTGCAGTCACCAAGCCAGCTCATAGCCAGTGAGCTCCTGCACCTGCTGGGGCTCTTCTAGACTCAAGGTGCTTTGAGCCCTGGCATAGAGCTCTCCAGTTCTTGCACTCTCTGGAGCCCTACCAACTCAGTGGACAACCAGACTAACAAACTGCTTCTACATTCCAGCTGCCTTTGCACTTTTAGCTAATGCTGTGTCCATGAGTGGAACTGTTCAAGGTCAGGTTGGATGGGGCTTTGAGCAACCTGATCTAGTTACAGATGTTCCTGCCCATGGCAGGGCAGTTGGATCTTCAAAGGTCCCTTCCAACTCAAACCATTGTATGACTTCATGATTCTATGACAGCATGATGCTAGGTCTGCAGAGCCTTTGCAACTGAGTATCACAGAGAGGCAGAAGAAAGCCAATTCTCTTGGTCACCTTACTGTTTTTTTTTACCAGACATACTGATCATGTGCAGCAGACCCCGTTCACTATGTTTTTAAGACCTAGCATCTCCGGTAGGAGATGCTGTACTGCCTGTGCACAGAAAAAATGCCCAGAAAGTTAACACTAGGAATGCTTAGTATCTCTTAGTTTGTCTGATTTAGACTTTCACCACGGTGGAGATTTAGTTTTATGATAAGACACGTAAATTTAAGTGTCTTCATGAAGATGTCTATATATGTACAAACTCCTATTAAAGTTACTGGAGAGCTACTCAGCACAGGCAAGAGATCTTAAGACCTGACCAGCGAGCTGGTGTCTACTCTTGGGTCAACTTAACAGCTTTCTAGGCTCCACTGACTGTCGTAACTAAATATTTAGCTCACATGTAGATATTTACAAGTGGACACCTATATTTAGATGCTGATGCTGAACCCTACACAGAAATCTAACCACATATATGTTTGGTACAGCCAGGGAGACAAACGTCTTAAGGGTCCCCTTGAAGGCCACTGTCTGTACATTTTGCAGCTCTGTGCAAAAAAGTCTACACAACTAGCAGAAAGATTTTCATTAGTTGATTAATTCCATGCTGAGCAGTAAATGAAGGTCAATACATGGCAACCTTTCTTTGATCCTATGAGAATTGATCTGTAAAAACTAGCCATGAAATATCTACATTACAATCTTGTTTCTTCTCTTCCAAATCAATGTTTGACATGATTTTAGCAGTTAATTTTCTAGAATGAAACACAGTTGCTTAGAACTGGGATTCCAAGATACTTTGAAGAAAGTGTGTTGCTTCTCTTAACCTCTAATTTACAGTGAATCTACAATAAATACTGTTTGTGAATTTAAATGGTGTTTTGGGAAAAAAAAAGTAGAAGGTGATGTAAACATCTGTTCTTGCAAGGTAGTGAAGCTGGATACACTTGCCTAATACCGCAGCAAAGATAAGAATCCCTCAGTTTCACTAAAGCATGATGGATGGTAAACTAAGTTGTTTGGCTGTTGCCTTCAGGAGAGTATTGTTACCTTTTTTATGGCGGCAGGACTGAATATAAGAGGGACCTCAGACCAGATACGATAATACGACCTGTTTCAGTACTGGTTGAAATGAGGATTCTTTTCATTTTTCACTCAGAGATTAAAGCTAAAGATTGTGGATATTTTAGAAACAAATCTGTCATTAAAATGCTCCCTTTCTTCTAGCAAATTCATGGTAGTTATACTACACGCACTACTCCTTGTATATTACATTTTAAATGCCTGCCATCTATTCATCTTCAGATACATTAAAGAAAGAACTAAGTTGTCTGGAGCAATTTCAAACTCAAAATGTCTTTTCATCCTTACTCCACAAGACAAATTAGATTTGCAAGCATCTAGACCTCAAATCTATTTGCTCTTTAATAATTTAAGCACTGAAAGGTCAAGCAGCTCTTTTCTGTTCCCCTTTATCAAAGTCCAAGTGCTAATGAAAAATAACTAAATCCTATCTGCTGCCCAATTTCTACAGACTGCTGTTTCTCTGATGTAAATTAACACATTATAAGCACCTGGGTCAACAGAAACCTGACAGAACTTTATGAGCGAAATGTTTTACATTTGTAGAAATAAGATCATCTTGTTAATGAATTTTACAAAATTACCCCAATTACAATTATAATCCAAAAGCTTCCTCTAATTCTTACTGTTAAAATTGCTTTCTTTAATACATAACAGCTGAATTGCCTACTCTGAAAAGGGTTCGAGCTTAGTGAATTGAGCTAGCACTGCACCAGGACTCTAGTATTCATTCCTCTTAGGCATTAGTCAGATTTCCTGCTTGTTTGAAGTTGCATTATTCCTTTTCCACACCTCTACATTTTAGAGAATACAGTCTTCCTACCTGCAATCCAAAAAATAAAATCTACGCTACAGTGAAAAGTGCCGAAAGCACATCGGCTACTGGTAGAACTTAGACTGATCTTTCTGAAGGAAAGAAATGTAATTTAAGTTTAATTCACATTATACAGTTCTACTATAGAATTCCAAAGCCTTGGAAAGTGAACACAAAATCTACCTTTATATAGACTGAAACTTAATGTTGGATCAAGAAAGGAACACATGGGAATTATTTTTAACTTAGGATTCAAATAGCTTAAATTTGGGGATTAAAAAAGGTGTCTGGAACAGAAAAATCTGATGTAATTTTTAAGCTACTTTTTATTTTAACAATTTCAAACAGTTCCAAATTTAAATGTTTATGCAGAAATACAGATCTGAACATAATAAGGACTGTAATTTTGGTTAGAAATTAGACATACCAGGTTTCTCAGATATTTACTGAAAATGGGTTGCTTAAATTAAATGGTCTGTCAAAGTCTACTAAATACACTATTTTTTTTTCAGACGGGAGTTGATAAAAAGGCATGAAAGAAGAAAGAAAACATGTTAACACAGTAATCAAAGATGCTAAGAATATTTAGACAAATAAACGAACCAAACAGTTCAAACTATTTTTAGGTGTGTATCTATTCTTAAGTACATGAAAGGATGGAGTTTAGTAACTTGCTGAATCAGGACACTATTCCACATTACTGGAATGCAGTAAATCAAATTTTAATTAATCAAAATCTTATTCAAAGTGACCAAATAATTTTCCAAGAAGGGCCTGGTGGATACAAGTATGGACTTCAGGATTCTTAATACAGAAGTTCTTAACATGTACAGTCTAGGTATTTACTAATTGAAACTTATGAATTTATAATTATACCTCCACCAAAGTGACTCCAAATCGAAAACAAAGGGAAAACAATCTTGATTACTTCATTACTGAAATGTCAGCTCTATTTTTTCTCTCTTAAACATTCTTGATGATTCACCTAACTGAAGCCATGAAGATTTTTTAAAAAATTATTTACAGAAGAAAGATAGCCTATAGACCTGAATCTAGACTAAGATTATCTGAATTTATTTACTAGTCTTAATACAGCTATCGTGTGTGATCATAGGCAAGTCAATTAAATATTCTGTGCTTCGGTTTTCCAGCTGTAAAATGAGAAAGGGAAAGTTTCTTATTCCCTCTGACCTGCTTCAACTGTAAAAAAGTAAAATCTCTTTGAGACCTTTTTTTTTTATTGTCCCTGAAAAAATAGTTTTGTTTTTTTTCCTAGGAAGTGTACAAAGCCTGCAAAGCTGTTAAGCTCCACTAGCAGTGCCCCGATGAGCTGTGTAAACTATTGGGCTATCTTTGCAGAC